AGGGCGTTTGGCTTTTTGCAACGCAAACAAAACGTCAGTCAGATGTGCGAATGGGGCAGAAACCGCGAAATGCAAGGCAGCATTTCACATTTCACAGTTTCCAAAGGCGGCTTCAAAAATAGTTCGCCGTGTTCGTGTCCGACGGTGTTTACTTTGGCAGCACTTGAAAACAAAAATCCAAATCCGAATCGGCAGACAAAATCCCCAAAACCAGGGGACCACCCGCCTGGCGTTGCCAAGAAATGTTTCGAAAATTAATTACAATTAAAAGTTTTGGGGGTGTTGCTTACTATATGTTGTTTGGAACGGAAAAGCGGCGCACCTTGGCCAATAAAATGAAAATTTATGGGTCACACATGAGCAGAGGCCCAAGGAAAGTGTGCGCCTTTTGCCCAGCTTTATTAATTGGCTTCGGGTTTATCCAAGGAAGTGGTCGCCACTCAAAGGATTAAGGGGAAATTTGTCTTGCCTTTCACAGGCCACAAGCTAAGGCGGCAAGACACTAAGAAAAAGAAAAAAAATTCACAAAATTCTTTAAGAATTTCATGCGTGTAAGGTTAATCTTAGGGCATTTACATATATTTAACTTAAATTCGATGCCTAGTATAGCCTACTAGTCTAAATATCTATATTTATTTTTTGTGTTTCATTTACCTCCTTTATTTTTCTTTGTGTAAAATTTTAAAGAAATACCCCAGAAGTGGTTGAGTGGGTTAAAGAGCCTGCTCACCTCCGCCTCAACTCGCCAAGGGATTCAATTTAAGGCTGAGGGTCTGCCACATGTGTGTTGGACTTGATGGCCCAGATAAAATGGCCATTCTTTTTGGGTGAGATTGTAACCAATTTCTCCTGCTGCCGCTGTAGCTGCTGCTGTAGGTAAAGTGATAAGGTTGTGAGGGAAAAGAAGGGGCTGCAAGGAAACAGGAACTTAAACCAGGAACACACATGCTGGGAACCACATAATAATTCTTGAGAACAATGTAAGCGTCAATTGTGCATGGCCAATGAAAGGGTATGGGTATGAGACTTTGGATGTGATGTGGCTCTTAAATGTGGGTAGTTTCTTTAGCTCGGTCCCGCCCCCCATTCCGTTGCCCACATTTCTGCAGACTCAGACTGTAGCTCAGACCTAGACATCAGGGGACAAAGACGACAACGTCGGCACATGCCACACGTCAACTCAAGAAATTTAAATTAAAAACCTTTTTTGCATGAAATGTGTTTGTTTGGGTGCAAGGATGATACATATGTTTCCACTAATTTTTATGTCGGGAGACAAATACAAAGACGCTTTTTTAAACAGTGACTTTTAAATATATGATCCAAGTCAGAAACTTTGTTAAAGAAATATTAAATTACAAGTTATCTCACTTTTTCCCATGTTCACAAAAATATAAATGACTAACATCTATGACTTAGAATTGGTCCATTGCCTTTGTGTTTAATTGTTTCAATGGGTGATTAGTTCTACGATAGAACTGCTATCTTTTTATCAGTCATCGTAAACTAGAGACAGGGCTTTGTGCCTATAAAAGTAAATCAGTTTGAACTCGATGCTCCGTTCTTTCCATTTTCTGTGGTATTTTTCTCTCACATATGCTCTGCGACTGGCAATTAATTTGTGTGCTTAATTCGCCTAATTATTCCAGGCAATAAAATTTTCAATACACTCAGATGAAGCTGATGATGATTAGTCTCTGGTCTGCCCTCCTCTCTCCTTATACCATTTTCCCTTTGTCCACACCTAAAAGCGAAGCTTTAGAGCTAGGGTTGGGGGCGAAGGACACGTTTAATTCAATCCGCGAAGGTTCTTTGACTTGACTTGGCATGGCATGGCTCTTCTTTTTTTATTTATATATTTTTTTGCCTGGCTTAGCTGGGAAAATAAAACGGCGAATAAAAAAACAAAAAGACGGAGCATCGCAGCATCAGCAGCGACATTTAAATTCAAATCGCTGAAGACGCTGACAAAGAAGCGGCGCCACACGTCGGATTAATTTTATGTTCCCCAAAGAAAAGTATCTGTTCACTGAGAAAAATATTGAAAACATTTAATGGAATACAAAATAAATCTATGAAAAATAAGCTGAGATATAGCTTGGTCATAATATCCATCAGCTTTCCAAAAGCAAGTATGTGAAATTTTTATAGTCTCTTTTCTGAGTGTCGAATATTTCGCCCTCGCTTCAATTAGAGCCAAGATTGGAAGGAGAAAATGGCAAATGGGTAGCAGGACCTCGAGTCCTTTGGCATTTGCCATTGGCTGGCTGCAATTGTTAAAATCGAATTAAGCCACGGTGTCGCATACTTTTGATCTCCCTGACGACGGCGAAGGCGATGGCGACGGCGACGGCGAGTCAGCCAATGAAATGTTGCACTGCTCGGCTAAATGTCCTTACATTGTCCTTGCCGCCAGTAAATGGAGGTACACTTACTCCTGCACCTTCTCCTACCACCTTCCCCTCCCCAAAGACAGTTTCAATTTCGGTTTACTTGGCGCAAATGAAATTAAACGAAGATTAGTCGTGTGCTCGCTAGATTATTCCAAGAAATAAAAATCTCTCAGATACTCTGGGTAGGAATAGCTTGGAATTTGGGAGTAACAGATATTCCGGAGCGTTCATTATTTTTTCGTTTTGCTGTGGCGGCTTTTGCTTGGCGCTTATTTTTATTTGTATTTTCCATTCGCCGCTGGCGTGGTGCGCTTTTTATGGCCCCTTGAGGTGATTTGCTCAAGTTCGCCGCCCCCATTTCTGTGCCCGGGGGAATAGGGGCTTGGATTTCTTTCTTTTTCTGGGGTAAAGGACGGGAGGAATGTCAGATTAGTTGAGCTGAAATCTGGGCAAATCACAAGCTACATTTAACCTGCAAATGATGGCCAGATTTGGCATCATCTGCAATTTATGAAAGAGTTCTTCAGCCACACAATCCAGGCTAATCAAATGAAATTAGAAAGAATTTAAGCGATTACTAAGAGACTTTTTAAATTCCTCACTTTATTTAACATTTTCTGATTATTCCTTGAGAAACTTCTCTCCCCCTCTCTTAGTACTCGTGAGTTCAATTAAAAAATGGCCATCATTAATTGCTAACCAATTTGCAGTCAGGACACTCTTCCTTGTTGCTTTCTCAAGTGTCCTGAACTGGATTTTCCTGCTCCTGACGATTTCTTTTTCCACAACTTTGATGAGCAGCCGTTTGCTGTTGACATTTTTTGCATATTAATTGAGGACAAGGCCTCATCTTTTTTTTTGTTCAACTCCCTTGGATGTTGCCCTCGTCCACCCTTGGCTTAATTTGCGGTAAGTTCATTAAGTAATAAAACATAAATTTTATAATTTTTTTTTGATTGCTCTGGCACCCTGCCACCGAGTTCTTGATACTTTTTCCATTTTTTCACAGCTTGTTTTTGTTGTTTTTTTCGAATAATGTTTTGCATATTTCTTTAATGAATTAATTCTGTTTTGGTTATTCTTTTGGGGTTTGCCTATGTTGATTCACCGTCCACTGGACTCCGATAAAAAAAAGGCGCAAGTCGCCGACTATGAAACTGAAGAAGCCAGAAAAAGGTCAGAATATTTCATATAATTTATGCGAAAAACATTACGGCGGCGAAAAACGCGTTTGTCGAGTGTTAATTATGCGCTGGCGGCAAAACTTTTCTATCAATTTCTGGATAGGATATATTAATTTGAGAACGCAAAAACATGTTTTGCATATGAAAACGGAGATGTGGAAAAATTGGTAAAAACTGGGAAAATATTGTGTGTTCTCCTCAGCGACTAATTGCATTCTTCTGGGGGTCTTCCTGGGGCTATAGAAGGAAACTACGATTTTATGCAAGCGTGGCTAAATGCACTGGGCAAAATAGGGTGATATTTAAGAGAATGGATTGGGAATTTAAAATATTCATAGCTTTGAAACAGTCAGAAGTAGGTGGAATTAATGGTACTTATTACAATGGCTTTATATAAAAAAGCTATTTGAATATATATTGCTAATATGTAGCTAATTTTTTCTTCAGTGTAGCTAGCATAGGGTGACATTGGGGTGTCAGGTTGTCACTCGCCTTGCCTGTTGTTTGTTGTCTCCCGATTGTTGACATGCATTCCCGCAAATGAGCCGTGCAATTGTCGGGCTGCCTTCTATTGACAGCTCCCATCTCGATAGTCAAAATGCATCTATCTATCTCTGAGTATATGTACATAAGTATATTCAAAAAAAAAGTACAAACCCCTGGGATTTGTCTCGAGTTTCAGACGTGCGCTCGACTTTGGCTTCATTTTCATCTGCGACTTCTCTGACTGACAACTGGCGGCTTCAATTCCGTGGGTTTGACACTGAAAAGTGTGACGATTTATTTGGCATATGGTATATGGGAGTATGGGCTATAGGGTGCCACAAATCAATTGGTTGCCCCAAGCAGATGCCTTAGATCTGCTACAAAGTCGCTGACAACCTCAACTGGACATCATTTGTTTCTGGATATTTAAAGGAATTCTTTTCCCATTAGTATTGTTTGGCTTCAACTCTTCTGAACGGCTCAGATTCTTGGCTGCCTATCTATAATATAATAATTAATTAGGCTCGTTTTACCTTGACGCCGTCGGCTTGGAGATAACTCTGGGGACAGAGGCCTACAAAACTGATAAGCCTGACATGGTGGATTGGCGGTGTACTTAGTATACACTTCTTTAAGTAGGGTCTAGATCTTCTACAGAATTGTTAAGAGAATTATAAGAATTATAAAAATAATATTGATCAAATTACCAAGTTCAAAGCTGATTTGTTTCTAAATATTTTATATTTGTGCTTTTTTTTCAATTTATAGAAAGAGTACTTAAACAACGGAATAAATCTATTTATAAGTTTCTATCTTATCATTTTAAACACGCTTGAGATTGCTTGGTACTCATGACGATAGGCACTTGGGTTCTACGGAGGTTAAAGGTCACCGGCTGCTGGGAGATAAGCCGGCTTTAAAGTCGAGCTCGCAGGTCGCTCTATGCCTCATTTCGTGCATTCAGTGTCCGGCTTTCAATCCACCATGTTTCGTTCGAGCTCGCTGCTTCTCCTGGCTGCCGTCCTGGTCCTCGGCTCCGTTTCCGGCGACGTGGTCAACTTCGTGCCGTGCGCCGACAGTGTGGACACCTGCACCATCAGCGAGGTGCGTGTGACTCCTTGCCCGGAGGCCAAAAAGAATGCTGCCTGCAACATCCGCCGTCGTCGTCCATCCCAAATGAGCTTCGATTACACTCCCAACTTCGATGCCGACTCCTTGGACGCCACCCTGGGATGGGCCAAGTCCGAGACTGAGGAGCTGCCCCTGCTGACCCTGGATCGCGATGCTTGCAAGTACAGTTCCTGCCCGGCCAAGAGTGGAGTGAAGCAGACCTACACCATCGACGTCCCGATCGAAGCCAAGTTCCCACTGAGTCCTTACACAATCCGATGGGCTCTCAAGGATCCTTCCTCCGGCAAACGTTGTTGCTTCACCATCGACATCAAGGTTGTGCGTTAAAAAGAAAAGTTTCACTTTCTTTTATTCATAAAAGGTTGGAACACGTTTTCTTCTTCATAAAAAAACTGATGGAAAAGTATTCAAAAAAACTATTTGGTTTTCGAAAGATGGAAATAATGTTTCCTTGCATTGTCCGTATTTTCTGCAATTAAAAAAATTATTTTCTGCTAACGATTTAGTGAGTTTTGTTAATTATTAATGGGCCTGGGCTTCTCTTATTGTTGAGTGGTTACAACCCACTTGGGACGACCTCGTGGCATAAAGATATTTGGTCCAATAATCATCAACCTGCTGGCGACTAATTTAAGTCCCAAGGCCCCGCGGGCCGGCTGTGGAAGAAAAATGTTTAAAACTTTGATTGAACTTTTGGGTGCCATTAAAAAGTCCGCCCCACTTTCCACTCTCAGCTTTTCTCCGTCGGTCTTATCAGCGTCGTCAAACAATTAAAAATTGAGCACTTAAGTTGTGGTCATAAAATCATTTGTTTTTCTCGTTTTTTCCACTCATTTTTTTTCTCGGTTTTATTGTTTTTCTTTTTTTTACATTTTTCAGTGGTGGAAATATTCAAATAGCAAATCGCTTTTCATACTCAGTACTCAGTGAGAGATAAGGAGTGTTGTGTTCAGGGGTTGGTTTTAGTTATATTAAAAAAATATATAGTAAATATGAAATAAATTAAAAGATGAGTTTTTAGTTTCAAATTTTTTTTTTATTAATTTATTTATTTTGTTGCGGGGTATCCTTTTTCTCTGTACATTTCCCCTCCGAGTTTTACTTTCATTTAATGTTTACCTAGAAATAATTTCTGGATGGCTGGGGGAATGGTCAGGAATCTGTTAGGCCTGACCCCAAAAAAAAAAAATGAAACCAAGGCAATAATAACACAAACAACAGCAGACACTTGAGCAAATAATAATAACCGAAAGTAATCAGAAAAAATCTTAAAGAACACATTGTTAGTCAATTTTGATGCAGGCTGGACTGCCGGGAATCAAATTCAAATTTCGGCATTGGCTTCACCGTATTTTTTACCCAAAACATAGGGAGTTTTTGTTAACGCCGAGATGATTTCACATTTGACCTGTTCGAAGCAGGGCGAGGCGTTCACATAGACGACTTCTCGCCTCTGGCTGAGGTAAGAGTTGAGAGCAGGTTCACTCTTCCGGAACTGCTGCATCTGACGATCGAGGTAACCGATATTCGCCTGCGGTCCTGGCGAGTAGCTGTTCATCAGGATACGCATGCGAGCCATACGCTCTTCGATTTGCAGGAATATGAATCTGTTGGGGGGTACAGTGAAGCCTTCAAAGAGCTCCCTAGCCTCGCACTGGTTATTCGGATAGTTGATCAAGATCCAACCTCGGTGAAGGGCGTCGTCTTTGAGAAGCCTCTTCTGAATGAGATTCCCTATGGCCTCGGATCTCTTATAAACGCAATCCTTTTCAATGGCATACTGGAGGTAGCGCGTATCCTCATTCTGCTCCGCCCCATTGATGCTGTGATAGGCCAAGACATCAGCATCTAGGATCAAAAGATCCCACCTTTCGGCCAGGGCATGGGCCAAGGATTTCCGACCCGACCCCGGCTTACCATGCAGCACTATCCTGTGGAAAAAGTTCCTGGGCAGCTGGTAGAAGTCTCCCGCCACTCCACGCTGAAAGGCATCCAGACACTTGCTGTAAATGTCCACTCCGATCCTACTGACATTTTCGCCCAACCAGCGACGAACGTCGGGGACCTGATCCGCCACAGAAATCTCCGCCAGGAGGCGACTCATCACCTCCATGAGCTTGTGTTTTTCGATGTAATACATGAAAGCGGCGCTGAACTGGACCAGCATGGACTGATCGAACTTGGTTGGAAAGGACATGGCTTCGGATTACAGCTGGTGGAATCCTATTTGGAAAAATAAATATGTTTTCTTGAACTGTTATAGTCAGCGGGAAATACGAATGGATTGGAAATTCAAAGGCTACTTTTCTTTATTATTCTATACCATTTTCTGGAAGGGTTATTTTCCATATCCTGTTCAAGCTCTTTTCCTTTCCATCCTAGTCTCATTTTCCCAAGTAGTGCCATTAAGATGACTCTGGCTAAGATTCCGCTTATTGTTATGATCATATTAATTGCTTCCGTTACAATATTAGAATATGGCCCGTACTTCCGGCCACTTTGAGTTTATTTGAAGCACAGCCCATATAAAGTGGCCAACAAATGTCGGGGCAGAACTGGAGCCAAGAAATGCCAAGGCGAATTGGCCTCATATGAGTGGAGTTTCCTTGGGTGACAATATTTTGCAGCGAATTATGACAGCTTCTTTGTCTTTTCCTGTCTCCACCCTCGCGTATCCTCGCTGTATTAACAATTTAAAAAGCCGGCAGTGCTAACGGTCCGCAAAGTGTTGCCAAAATGTCTGTCATACTTTATGTTGTCTTATGAGCTGCCCGGCTTAGCCAAGTATCCTTGCAAGGATGCCATGAATGCCAGTATGGCTAGGAGAGTGGGTGGCTGAGTGGCTAATAAAAACTAGCATAAGATGAAAAATTGTTTCCTGTTGCTATAGCTGCTGCTTCTTGGCCAGGACATTCTCCATATTGTTATTTCAAATATGTTGTTAATATCTTTCACACACTAATATCGCATCCTTGGCTTCCTTAACATTTGCTCTTTGGTTTATCGGCCTTTCAGTAGAGATCCGCCTTCAAGATGGACCAAGGATTGTTTTAATTATATGAGAAACGAAAAATCAAAATATGAATATGAATATGAATATGAGTGTGAGAAATGAGTGCATGTGGCTGTTGATGTGACTGCTTTCGGCTGTTGCCACAAAAGCACAACTTTTTAATTAAACTCAAAGCAAAAGCGACAACGACAACGATAACAACCCGACAGTTTCTCATCTCATCTCGCCGTTCGTCGGGGCAGGCAGTGTGCTAAATTACATTTCATCATTATGGCCAGGGTCCACGTACTACCCCTCCACTGGCCCCTATCCTTTTTAATCGCCAAAATTGTGGCACAAGCCGCCGCTGACGATTGTCGTCGTTCTGCAACTATCACAGAAAACCCGCGAATCGCGAATCGAGTCACGCAGAATGGGAGACAAGATGTCGCCCCATAAAATGCATATATTAATCGGAAATACGAAGTTTCAAATGCTCTTAAAAATTATTATTAATAATCCTAGTTCAATATAGATATTTCTTTGCGATTTTTAAGAAACGAAATGAAAAAAATAAATAAAAAATTGTTTTTAAAACTTGTAGTTTTGAAATACTCTTTACTCTTGGGTGTACATACATTATGCATTCATTCACAGAGTCGCTGATTGAGAAAACCACAAAAGCAAGGGGAGTTGGGGGGATGGAGTGATTACAGCTGGACTAAGAAACATATATGTATTAAATAAATTATGGCACACAGCCTCATTGTAAGTACTTGCATGAACCATTGCCAACCGTTGGAAATTAAGGCGCAATTCTAGCATAAGCAGGCCGATAAGCAAAAGTGACGTTCGGTGCATGGCACCAATTCTTAGGAGAATAGTGGCTATATGGCACTCTAAATAAAACTAAATTAAAATATTTTGGGATTTAAAAGGCAGTTTAAAAAAGAGAAATGAATAGAATCTTTGTTCAGCCAGAAATATTATTCTTCCAGATTTCTACAAAGAGCTTAAGCTTTCCCTTTCTAAGTAAAATTTCAAATTTAACATGTAAAATTAAAATATATTTCCACAATTTTTTTCCATTGTGTACTTAGTGCTAGGGAGTAGATTGTCAGCTCCTTTCAAGTCCGCCGACCGCCATCTGAGGAGCATTTTGAATTAATCGGAATTCGGTTGCAACGTCGGACGATGTTCAGTTCTTATCGGCTCCGAGTTCGAGACCCGTTCCGTCGGGTTACAGACCCTTATCAACATCCTCCACCCGCCCCTAATGCTCCTCCTACGTATAAGGGCCGGAAGTAACGAGTGCCGTGTGTTGTCGTCGTCGCCGACTTTGCTTATCAATTTCACAATTGCACTGGTTTTATCATCTGCCGGTCAGCAAGCAGCCAGCATAAAAAACCGCAAAATGGGAAAGAGTTTCTCTGAATTTTGTTTTTTTTTTTTCCAGCATACATTTTTGAAATTTTTTATTTGTTTCTTTGGCCCACAAAGCACTCAACACTCAACGCCCAACAATTAAAAATCATTTTTCATCTGCCGCTCACACAATTGCTAGTCAACGTGCCAGTTCCCCCAGAGGACCCGGGAAAAAAGTAAAAACGATTGCTAACAAAGCCACACATCAACAGGCTGGAACAGGATTCAGGATGCCGGATTCAGGGATATTTTGTCCTGGACCACTTTGTCATGCCGACAATTTGCTGCCAATATTTTGCCAATTTTTTTCCCCCATTTTTTTTTGTTTGTGAGGGGAAGTTTGCTGCTGGTTTGCCTTCAATTATACAGCAATTGAAAAATTACTACGTGTACAACGATTTCTGTTCCAGTTCATTTTTTTGTTTGGCCAAAGAGGGTTGGGGGGCTAGCAGACAACAGGTTTTAAATTTGTCACCACAACAACAAACCTGACAAACGCCAAATGAAGCGCAAATTTAATTACGCAACTTTATTGGATTAACAGGCGCAACCTGAACGCGTGGAAAACGTATTTAAATATGCCGCACACATGTGCCACATGATCCCCTAGACCTAACCCCTTGTTTCCGTAATGTTCAGGTCTCCCTGCACGAGGATTTCTGGCCTGGTCAGAATCGTCTAGTCGCGTAGGTGAGCCGTAAATTTACGCGCCATTGTTGGCAGCCCACTCCTTTGGCCCACTCTCCCCCTTTGGCTCGTTGGTGTTGTGTTGACGCCAATGTTGGACACACCAACCCACACACCCGGTCACACACCAGTCCACCAGTCCATGTGTTATCTTCCTTTTTTGGCCTTTTCACTTATGCAAACGGAACATTTGAAAAATATGTTGGCAGGATAAACAGTAGGGCTACAAAGTGCAGCTGATGCCCCCAGACGGACTCTTCTCCAGACTGTTTTCTGCTCCTCTGACATTTTAATGAGCATGCAACGATGCAACGTGTTGCACTTGCAAAATATCAGTCACTAATAGAAGAATAAATGTATTTAAAAATGTATTAATCATCCTTTTGTTTGTGGAAACAATAGGGTTCATTTAAATAAATTGTAAGTAATATTCCAACAAACTGGATTAAAAATATGCTAATTAGTTGCTTAATTGAGTTTTTTTCAGTGCACTTTCCACTTTTACCACTCATCCCCCTTTCTGTCAGTTTTCCCAGCCAGCATCCTTGTTAAATTCATTAGTAAAACGTTGCACCTTCAGCGCTATTTTTGTGAGGTTGGGGGCACACGTCTGTTTGGCCTGATGTTGCCACAGAGCACACACGAAATTAAAACCTCCCCCATCCACCCACCAAATAGCCCCCTTCGGCAACAACAACAAGCACTGAAACATAGCCACCATGAACGAGCAGACAACATGACATGATACCGATACTAAACTGACACTTTGACATGGACTTAACCCTAAAAACGCTTTGTTGGCTTTATTGGTGTCGGTTGCTACTCTTTGGCCTCGACCTCCCCCTAACTGATGGCCAGGGGTGTTCATGCGTGCGGTGGGTGTATCGCAAGGTATCCACTTGATTTTTGCACTAATTTACGTGGATTAAGGCCAACACGGGCTGTGTGACCTGGGTATTAAGCTTAAATACCTTTTAATTGACAATTTGTGTTGCGTCATTTGATGCCTGATTTTGTTTATTTATTGGGGGTTTGTCCGTGGGCTTTTGGAGGCTTATTAAATGAGGATACCTCGATTAATCTCTTTGGTTACCTACCCTATTGATTTATTAAACAAAACCTTTAATGTTTTTTTAGAGCACTATTATCTTCCGATAAAATATGATTAATACCTGTCCACTTTAGTCAGACTTCTTAGCCTAACTAACCAATTAACCTGTAACTAAAACTTTTTCTTTTCCTTTGATAAGTTTATATTTGTTTAATCAATGCGTCTCCTGCAGGTGAAGTCTTGTCCTGTCCTCATTTGTATGCCACTAAATTGTGCAAAAACTTTAGCCAAACTTCAACAATTTGCTTTGGAATCAAACTCCATACCCCGAATCTAGCAAGTTAATTCGATCCATCAGCTGCAAGTTGTTCACGGAAAGCTGAAAAGTCTCGCCACACAAGCGAAAAGTTTCACACAAAAAAAAAAATTGCTAAAATCAGCGTTTTTTTGCGCTTTTATCCCGATAAGTGGGCGAGTGGCAGAAGGGGGCGTAGCCAGTCAGCCGCTAAAGCCGCCGCCCGGTGCAGCGGCGTCTAATTGAACCCAACAGATATTTTCAATTAGCAGCAAAACATTTGTGAGCTAAAAAAGTTTTATTTAATTTTTTCGTTTCCTCTTTTTTCCTGGCCCGGGCCAGAGTTGTGGCACCTTAAGCTCAAGGACTTGGGAACAAAATAAAAAACGAACAGGATTCCTGCGGGGCAACACGTCCAGGCGCCAATAAAAAAAGCACCTTAGTACTAAGAACTTTGGCCAGCGGCGGGAAAACTTTTTAATGCCATTAAAGAATGAAAAAATGACGCAACAAGACGTCGAAAGTTTTCCCGCCGCCCCAAAAGGTAGGCAACAAAAATAGTAGAAAATTCAATTTGGAGCGAGGACGAATTTAACCGAAATTTAGAGAGCGTTCATAAATCAAATAATTTGCTAGCTTGTAATTTTTAGGGCATTTTTAGAGCCAGTGAGTGGCCGGCCGGCAGCTCTTTATGCAAGTGCGTAAATTGAATTGATAAAAACCGGAGGAGGGGGGACCCGCACAAAATGCAAATGCAAAGTGCGGCCGGAAATGACTACAAAATGTTGAAAATCTACAACTTGAGATAAGGCCGGAGAGAGTTCAAACAAACTAATTCAA